CTTCTTTTTTCAAGCTTATTTCTTTGTAGAGAACATGTTCGGTTCAATTTGTATATTTTATGGAGAAAAAAATGCTGCAGCAGTTTCTTGATCAAACGGCTTTTTTTTTCCTTTTTTTTTAAAAAAGAGAAATTCAATTCAAAATTTTGTATTTGAACATATTAAATATAAATTAAATAAAATAATATTGATATGATTTTTAATAAAGTTCTGTGCATTGCAAATGAAGTATTTTATTAGATATTCTATTTAAAGGTTAAACATGTAAAAATGTCAATTTTTATAAAATAATATTAATTATTGTACTGATGTGGCAATAAAGTGAGTCTTTTTTTGTTTTTCTCTATTATACATACTCTTGGTGGTTATGCTTTGTTACCGCACCGAATTAATCCCACACTGAAAAAATAGTGTGAACGTAATTAGAGATACATACATGTTTTAAGTTGACCTCCAACAACTAATGTTGAGGAAAAAGGGGAGAATGTAACAAAGGTTCACCTGTGAAGTGATTAGTGGAGTTACGTATAAAAATTACGCATTGGTTTGGTTGTGTTTCTAAACCTAGTAAGTATGTATATATTTGTGCTCTCGCGAGCTGACCCAGTTTACTCCCTAACAAGTGATATTAAAGAAAATGATGCAATCAGTGATCAAGGTTTACACTCATAGAAGAGCAAACAGATTCACATGTGAACTACGTGGAGAATGTTAGAGTAAGAGGGGAAGAATGTAAAAAGATGTTTTACGATTTTGAACTTTCAAGGCAACGTAAACGTTTGCTTAAGGAGTTGTAAACATCTTTTTTTCTTTTTTGAACGGCAAGGAGTTGTAAACATCCTTTTTTTAGCGTGTAGTTTTTGAGGTTTTGTGTGAACAACTAATTTAAAATCAATTAATTAGTTAAACCCGTGATAGCCTATCTTAATTATGTTTAAGTTCATGATTAAGTTTTTTCTTTCTGCACTTAACAAATAGATACTAACTCAACTAAGTTTTTGTTAGCGTAAACATGTTTGATTGTGCAGTTGCACTGTTCAAGGAATTAAAGGTTTCGTGTAAAGTAGGGGAGATCCTCTTTCCTTTTTATTTTGCTTCTTCACTAAAAAGGGTTTTGTTTTTGCAGTTATTCAAGGGAAGAGGAGGACAAAAACAATGACCTACAAACAATAATGAATGTTGTTTTTCAGTCCTTGTTGGTATATCATATGGTTAGGAATTTTGTTTGGAATGCTAATTAGGTGGAAAGGCAGTGGCATGACAGATACGCAAAGGATATTGCGATAAATTTGGCTTTAGGCTCTTTCCTTTCAGCTGTAAAACATTTCCTTTGAAGGCTATAAATTTAGGTGAAACTTGCACTTTTCTGATGATCAGAAGAAAAAAAAATGACTTGGGTTATGGCCAAATTCCCTATAATAATACATCCCTTTGTGGTCCACAGCCTTTTTCCCATCTTTGGGTTTCTTTCTACCAATATGTAGATTTTGATGCTAAAAGAACTTTGACATTATAATATAAATTCAAAGAATGGTTTCTCTAGTTCGAGTTAACGATGTTTCGTCTCACTCTCCATCTGATTAGGGGCCGGATGGTTGCATCCATGGCCTTGATTTGATCCTCAATTAAATTTCTTTTGGCAGCAGCAGTGATTCTGACCCTTAAGAGTGTCATGACTTATGAATGGCTTTAACTTGACGTTTGGAACGTCCCCCCTATTATTAACGTTAGCTAATAATTAAATTGATGGATCATTTCACCTGCATCAAATATGTCGTCAGGAGGGAATGCCATTGCTACCATTCAATCAAGGGGTTCATCGCTATCATATGTATGAGCATATTGACACATAGACTTCGCTTGCGGAGTGCGTATTTATCATTATCGACAAAGGGAGGTGTTTGATATCAGCTCAACAGTGGATATGTGGCCACGCATTTGCTGATGTGTGATGATAATATCGATTTTCTTTTTTTTTTTGCTTTTTGGAAACGTCAGTCCTATAATTGAATTTGTGAAATTATTAATGATCGATATATGCTGGCGATAGATATTCTGAGTTTTGATTGAAACCAGTTTTAGAATTTGGTCCACGACAGGGGAAACCTGAGTTTGTGGCTGATTATATGCCTCGTTTTCCTTGATTCAGTAGCATCCAGCCAGTTCAGCACATTCATTATTGAGAAGGAGATGGTGACAAGCATATTTTTATTATTGGTATGATTGTGGGGTAAAAGAAAATGACCTAAAAGGTATGGGGAGTACGGCAGCGCTATATTTTTTGGTTTCTTCTTCTTCTTTCCCCTATTTTAACAATGGAAGATAGGTATGAAAATTGGAAAAGAGTGGTTCATGATTAGAGGAATTTTCTAGTACAATTCATTGAATTCAAAATTTCAAGGAGACCATATCTTTCTTTTCATATTTTTGTTGTTAGGAAAAGTGTCTAAATTAAGGGGCAAGATCTTGATCTCTCTTTCTGTCCAAAATTTAGGGAGGGAAAATTAACTTTGATGGAGGCGTGTTTTGGGCAAAAGGTAAAGTCGAGGGAAGTTAAGTTGAATTTGAGGAAGCTTATGCAAAATGGAATTGACCTTGCTAATTTTAACATATGTTGAGTTTGTGCTGGATCCAACTATAAGCTAGAGCTTTTTATATTAATTTTCTTGATTTTTTTCTCGGAAAAATTGCACTTATTTTCCTTCTTTAAAAAATGTGCATTCAATCATCCATATATAATTAAAAAACAAGAGCAAAAGGGTTTTTTTTTTATTTTAAGAAAAATTATTAGTACATTTTTCAATTTAACACATTTATAAACACTCACCATTTTAATTAATAAAATCTATAATTTAAATTTTTTTTACTTTTAATTTAAATTTTAAAAAAATAATTTTTAATAAATATATTATAAAATATATTTAACTAAAAAATAGATCAATTACTGTTATTTTTTTAAATAAAAATAATTACATTAAATTATAATTACAAACTCTAAAAAAAAAAAGAGGGATAAAAATCAATAATAAATTTCAAAATCAAGACCTACATGCCGCATTATCAAGCCTTAAACATCGGCCACAATGTGGTCGGTAGAGTAGAAAAGTTAAAATGTGTGGACTATTTGGTACGATAAAAGGATACAAGAGAGGAAATAGAGACAGAGACATCATTTTCACTTTTCTCTTTTATATTTTAATATTTAATTTATGTGTAATTAAAACCTAGAAGGTGCCTTACGGTGGATCAGTTTGGGCACGATAACAAGTAGTAGATTTGTTACGTGAAAAAGGTTTATATTTATAAAATAAAAAATATATATAAATTAATTTTTTTTGACAAAAAAATAACATATGTAAATTAAATATAAAAATAATTATTTTATTTATTATTAATTGATTTAATTTTAGATATAAATTTGAATTAAAACCCACACATGTCAAATTTTCATATGATATGAGAGGTTTCATACTTATGAAGTCTAAGATCTTGTGACAATTTGGGCTTGCACAAGCAAATTGCATCTCAAGCTTTGTTGGCTTGAAATCCACTTAATAGATTCAACTTGCATGTGAGGAGGGGCTTTTAATTTTGCAACCTAAGATCCACGCAACAAAATTTAAATTTAATACCATCGAGCTTGCACATGAGGACGTTGTTAAGCAGTGGCGGAGCCACATGGAGACCAAGGCCGGTGGTTCCCCTGGAATTTGAAAAAAAAAATTATATATAATTAATTTATTAATTATTATTATTAAAATTTTAAATATTATATTTTTAATTGTTAAAATACATAAAATAAAAAAAGATCCAATAATAATTGGCTATTTTAAGAGCCCAAATATAATATATACAACCAATTATTCATTTTAACAATTTAATTATTTATTATTATTTAAAATACACCCATTTTAAGGCTCAAAACTGAATTTTGTAAAAAAAAAAAAAGAAGAAGAAGAAAAACCAATTCTTTTGTCTTCTATACAATTTCTCCAGTATTTGAACCTACTGTTCCCGTGTCAATCTCTTTTAACTAATCAACTTCAAAAAAAATAGAAAAAAGAGATTCCTTCGACGGCTCAATGCAAGTCATTGGAACACTGCTCTCTTCATTGAAAGCTTGAATACAAATTAAGGGACCACCAAAAAGATCACTAACTTCTTAGTAAAAATTAAAAACAACACTAACCCTTTTTATATAAATCATATATTGTCATATTGGATTTCAACTTTAAAGTTTTGTAAGTTTTTATTTTATTTTATTTTAAAATTTTGTTTTATACTTGTTAGTAGATATGTTTTAACAAAAAAATTAGTATATCTCTCTATCCCAGAATAATTAATATTTTTTTATTTAGAATTTATCACAGAATAATAGTTATTTTTTTTTATTTTGAGGAAGATAAATTGTTTTTTTTTTTACTTTAATCCTATAATTATCTTTTAACTTTAATTATTTATTTTTGGATGGAAGTAGATATTTATTTTTAGTTATTTTTTAAGTATAAAATAGGTAAAGATAAAAATTGTTTTCAAATCTTTCATTTGAAGATAAAACAAAAAAAAAATCTATTATTCTAGTATAGAGGGAGTAATATTTAAGTAATGAAACTTATTGATTTTTTATTATCACAAAAAATTATATAATATCCTTTTAAGATTTATAGTTATTGAGATTACAAATAAAATTGAATATTATGGTAATATTGAAGTTATATGGAACAGAATTGGATCGGAGTAAAAAAATTGAAAAAAAAAAAAAAAGTACAAATCCATAAAGAGAACATATATGAATCCAATAAAAAGAGAAACCTTAGATATAGTCATTTAGAGAAAAGCAATAGGAACATAAATTAGTATAAAAGGAAGATAAACTCGTACAAAATGTAATTAGCTTGTAAAAAGGGGAAAAATTTTGTTTGCTTGTAGAAAGTGGTAGGGTGAAAAGATAGGATGTGACCGTATTTCTAAACTATGTCAATGGCTTGTGGAGACAAGAAAATCAGAAGTCTATAGTTTCATTTACAAGTTAATTACTTTGATGTTTACTTTTCCAGTTTTTATAGCAATAACAGAAAAATTATTTTTTACCATGAAAATTGTGAAAACGAGATTTTACAGCAAAATAAAAGATAAATCTCCCTCAAACTCTTTGATTATTTATATTGAAAAGAAAATAGTTTAGTCATTTAGTGTAAACAATATTATAAATAGATTTTGTGACATGAAAACTCATCAAATATTATTTTAATATATAATATGAAAGTAAGTTTTTAAAGTTACAATACATTATTTTAAGACTTGAAAAGCCGGCCTCCCCTGACTAAAATTCCTAGCTCCGCCCCTGTTGTTAAGTGTAAAAATTTCACATTGATAAAATAATGAGGTCAAACCTTAATTTTGGTCTCTTTAACTTTGATACCGATTCCTTAAATAAATCTCTATGTTGAAATATAAAGTTTTAAATTTGGATTTTTTTTGGTCATTTTGTTAAATTTTAGCTTACATGGTACATTAAATTATGTTAAAACCTGTTTTTTTCTTCAAATTAATGACATGAAAATTCCACATGACAATAATTGATATTATGGACAAAAGTTATTGTGTTCACATTGACCTTAAAATTTTATTTAATCACAAAATCATCATTAGGTTAAATTTCAATTTTAGTCCTTGAACTTTTGAATGAACCACTAATTTGGTCCATGTACTAAATAAATCCCTTATTTTGGGACAAAAAAGTCTCAAAATTTAAAATTTTAGAAACCAAAATAGAAATTTTTTTAGTTTTGGAACCAAATTGGGAGTTCATACCAATTAAAGTTGAGAGATCAAAATTATGATTTAACCAAATAATAAGGAGACATGTGAGTTAAATAAAATGAGAGATATTTCACTTAGTGTTAATTGATTTTAAGTTGGATACAAATCTTACATTGAAACCCACATGTCAAATTTTTGTAAGATCCTTAAAGAGAGATGGAGAGTGGTGTTGAGGAAGTTTTTGCCAACGTGGGGGCGGGGGGATGGGAAGGAGCAGATAGGTGCCATCCAAAAAAGTTTCAACTAGGGTTGAGGTTAGGTCCTTTGTCATCGAGGCGAATGATGGGCTTGTATAGGTTCTCAACAATTGGCTATTAGCCCTCCCCCTCTCCCAATAGCATGGCCTCCATGAAGGCGTTGTGAGGCTGCTTAAGCAATGGGACAGGTAGGAAGTGAAAAGATTTTGGCCGAACCCCACCACTAGTATAATGACTTTTTTAGTTAAGATTTTTTAACTCTTAAAAATATAAACTCAAATTATTAATAGTAATTAATTTCTACACTTATATATTACTCACATTCATACATTTAACTTGATGTGGGATTCAGACATCACAAGCTTGCAAGCTTGGATGGTTGGCATATTGCTAGGGTTAGGGACATACAAATCGGTGTTTAGAGTTTTTGTTTAAAATTTCCTCTATCTTTCTTAGTGTTTTAGTTTTTATCCTCTATTTTTTTTTTTATTGTTTTGATCATTATTAAATAAAGAAGAAGATACATCTAGAATGGTGAGCATCCTGCGCCTAAAGCATTACAATAAAAACATGCTTTTTTAACAATAATATTAATTATTAAAGATAGAAAGCGAAACTTATTATAAAATTAAAATTAATTTTTTAACTACCTTTTAATATGTGTGATTTTAGTTATAGCTACATAGACAGATGTAGTACAAATTTGAGTTTCCAAGGGTTTTCAAAACTGAAGCTGTATGCATATATTTGGAAGTGAAGAAATTTTATGAAAAATAAAATTCATCAAGAAAACATATGTTAGTAATGTTAAACATGAAGAAAATAGCTTTTGTAAAAGTTAATATTGATTAGTTCTAGAGAGAGAGAAAGATTCCAAAGACGGTCGCACGTGTATCTCCGTGTAAACATTAATAAAACATGCAAAAAGTTACCTTAAAATATCGTTCACTGCTTTACTTTCTCTAGCTTTTGTCTCTATCAAAAAATATCTTTAAATCATTGTCAATCTCTTAGATTCAAGATGCATGTATGAATTTAAAGAAGTAAAAATTTTGCGTTTGAAATTAACATGCATGCTTAATTATTTGTTAATTAATTAGGAATATGTGCCGACCATTTAGGTGGACGTTATTAGTTTTAATCCATGAATTTTATAACTTAGTCCAACAAAAGATCCTCAAAATCGTGTTATTGATCTCTATTCATGAGTCACAATTATCTTTAACAATTCTTCGGTATGGAATGATTTATACATCACACTCGGTTTTAATTTATATCCTTCATTATTTCCTTTCCCCTTTCTATCTATGATGGATCGTTGTCAATAATGAACTGTGGCTGCTAGCTAGCTAGGATATCGAGCAGAGAATTAATATGAGAATTGACTCAACTTCTAATTTGATGGAGATAGGAACCTTTTTCCCGTGCTGGGTTTGATTAAATAAGAAA